AAGAATTTCAAAGGGAAGTTATGTCAAAATTTGGTCTTTTTGGTAATGATCAAGGTATTTCATTTTGGGGTTTGAGACATGATAAGAAAGGTCTAATCTTGTCATATGTCAAAAATCTATAATTCTTGAAGAGTTAAAAGAATCCTTAATTCATTTAATATTCGAAGAACTAAAGATTAAAATTTGTTCAATTACTCCACCTTAGAAAGTAGCATAAATTCAATCGTTTAAAAGATTAAGCAAACATGAAATATCAGTGACGTGTTCAAAAACAATCCTCTAAGTGCAAATAGTATATGCCATGCCCCCTTCTTCGGCTGTCAATGCCCCTGAATCCATCAGGTTTTGGATCTTGCGCTTCAGCGCCTTATAGTTCTCAGAGGAATGTTTGGAGCTTCTTATGTGGTAACAGTTAACAGCTTCAACATTGTAGTCCTTAGGATATGAGGATTCTTTTCTTAGATCATCCTAGCCGGCTTTGTCCTTCATCATCTGATTAGGCTCTTTAATGTTACAATCTTGCTTCCATGTGGTTAAATTCGCTTCATCGAGTCCTTCACGACTTAATTTCATGTTTGTGAAAATGCTTAAAATGTAGATGAAAATGCAAAAAGGCAAAAATGCAAAATGCAAGAATGCACGAAATGTTCGAGGCATTGATCCAGAAAAGTGTCCATTATTATAAATAATCATTATTCAGACAAAAATGTTTTATCTTGTAAGAGATATAAAAACAATAAAAGGTATGTTCGGACTAAATCTTCTAGACATCCATCCGAGATACTTTCTTCCATGACTCGACTGCTTCTTTGATCATCTTCTTATAATTGTCACTGTGATACATAAACTCTGATATAGATAATCCATATGTTGCTGGGACAAACTGATGTGCCCCATACTGTCTAAGTGCCAACAACGGAGCATACCCAACTGCACCTCAAAGTCCAAATAGGGTCATAGTGTCAGAATTCCCACACTTGAAAAGAACATCACTGAGGAACACCCAGGGGGCTCTCCAGGTAATATCCCGGTCCTGAAGATGAGTGAAGACTTTCATCCATTTCTCTTTTAAAGCTCCTTCATGTCATGTCATGGTGATGAACTCTCTCAAAGGTGAATACGTAGTGCTAAATCTACAGTAGGCAACCCCATTAGTCCTCCAGAAGTGGATGTGAATCCAGACTTGAAGGAACTGAACACATCCAATGAATCTACCTCCTCCAGCTCTTCGGTAATGGTTGAGAGACCAAAAGGTCTCAGCTGAGATGGTCGGTGCTGGGTTGACTCGTTTCGGAAGTTGCTCAAACAGTTCCACCACGACTGCGTCAATGCATCCCAAAACCTTTGGAAAGATGATCAAGCCATCCAGACCTAGTGCAAAAAGGTCTATAGTCTTCCATTCATCATGGTGGTCCTTCATTAGTTCCCTTATGTGGATCCACTCAATTCCTTGCCCGTTACCTTTGTTTCGGAGTCGGTCAGTCACCCATTTTTCATCAACTCCTGCAATCTTAGCCAGCCCGTTCTTGAAAGGCTCACTCTTGATGTGTTTGATGTAGGCTCGCTCCAGTTTAATGCTTTCACAGTGCAATAGTGTAGTATACTCCTCGATGGTAGGTACCATGTCCTCCTGGTTAAAAGTGAAGCAACTGTATCCCAGGTTCAAAAATTGAACCAAGACTCTGATTAAGGGCTCATCGGTCTTAACATGAAGCAAAAATACAATGTCACCATACCGCCGACTGAACTTCTGTTTCCGATCATTCTTCCAACTATCTCAGATGTCTCGAAGTTCTTTGCACATTATTCTGTTTTAGGCTGATATAGGCGTAGCTAACCAGCTCTGACACATAGCTTCCTTGAAGACTGTCTCCCTTTTTCTTTTGAGTCTTCTCGGACCATAGTCGTACCTCGGGGTTTTTAATCTCTTGTATTACAACACCTTTGTCCATGGATTCAGATTATTCGAATTTTAACAAACACGTTTTAGTGGATCAATGACCTCTTTTATGATGCAAGTGATGAAAATAAAATAAAATAAAATAAAAGAAAGATGAAAAGAGTTAGTGAGGTGAAAAAAATAATAATAAAAAACGATCATAAAAATGAAAGTCCTACCCCACATGCTTATTATTCCTACCCGGACATGATCTCTATCCCGCATGCTACTTTCAAACAAATCCTAACCGCATATTTGTCTAGTTCGCATGCTTTGAACAGAAACTAAAGCAAGAAACAAAGCAGCCTAGGGTTTGGAATGAGGTTTTGGGGTGGGCTCTAATTCTCCATGGTCTCCCGGTTTAGGTGCTAAAAAATGGTACCTGAGTTCTCCTTGCTGGTGCCCCCTTGGGCTTGCCAGACCCTTAGTCCTAAACCCATCACAGGCTTGTGGACTAAGTTAAACTCGAGAGGAACATTCCCTTATGCCCATACGGAGAATAAATTCACACGAAGGCATAAGGTATATGAATCCCGAAGGTTACTTGCTAGGCCCATACGGAGAATAAATTCACACGAAGGCGTCGCTTTCACCCCCACTTAAATAGGGTTCGGAGCTCGGGTATAGAGCCTTTAGATGAAAAATCTTTAAGGGCTGAAATCATTAAAAAAACGGTCAGTACAACTATTTACTTCGAAAATATAATCAAAAGTAAGCAATAAGGATCGAAATGTTACCTTAAAATTTAAACTTACCCTTTTCATTAAAAAAATAACTGGAAATTACCTTAGCCTGACTCACTTACGGTCCCCAGCAGAGTCGCCAAGCTGTCGCAACCGTCTTTCGGTTGGGCCCCGGAATTGGGCTTCGACTTGAAAAATGTGGATTGGAGTCGCCACCGATCATTTATTTAAAATTAAATGGGTTGATCGGATACCCTATTTCTTACCTGATCTGCGTCTTACCAGAAATATGTCGGGTTCGGGAGTCGGTTACGGTCAAAGAAGGATTAGCACCCTTGAACCGCCCTTTCGGTACTACATAATTTCCAGTTGTCTTAATTAAGAAAAACAACAAGTTAAATTAAAAGGTAAAGTTTCGATCCTAATTACTTACCCTTGATTGATTTGAAAAAAAATCGAGAAATGTGTTAGATAAACAAGGTAAAGAAAACAAATAAGATACAAGGGAAAAATAAAATAAATAAAATAAGTAAGTAAGATAAGAAAAAAATAGTAAAGTAATAATTATATATAGTAATATTTGAAAAAAGGAAAAAATATAAATATATATATATATATATATATATATATATATATATATCAAAGTATTAATAAAATAAATAAGCTATATATGTACACCAAATACTTAAAAATAGAAAAGCTACCCTCTCAATTCACCGAAAATGGGGGGCTCTAGTAAGAAATAAGACAAAAAAATGGGCCCTCTAGGTTAGTAGTATAATATAATGTTTAATAATGATAATGATAAAGACACAAGATTTTTTTTAAAAAAATAATAATATAATAATAATGAATAAAAAAATGAAAATAATAAAAAATAATATAAATATATAAGTTATAAGATATATTACATAAAAAAAATAATCAAATAAAATAATTAAGAATATATATATTTAATAATATGTATATAAATAAACTATTAAAAGTAAAAAATATATACGACTAGATAAAGATAATTTAATATATATATAGTAATATTAGACTTATAAGTAAAATATTAAAGAAATATATATATAATAATAATAAAATATAGTAAAAATCAAATGAAAATAATTTAATATATATATACATATATAATAATAACATGAATAATAAAAATAAATGAATAAAATATCCATATAATAAATAAAGGGACTAATATAGATTTTTAAAAAGCTCTTTCCCTCTTTTAACCGAAAATCAAACCGGTTTTTAAAAATAAACCTCGGGGTAGATCTAGGTTCGAAACTTCAAAACCCCACCCATTTTGGTCATCGGCGCAACCCACGTTTTGGGTTATTCGAACCAAATCTAAAAAAAATAACGTGCACATGCAAAAGAAAGAAAAAAAAATGCTACCTTTTATTTCCTTTTCGAATCCTTTACAATAGCTTTGCCTTTGTATCTTCCCGTGCTTTCCTCTATGTTTTGTGTATAAATCGTGTCCTACAATAGTGAGTTACAATGGCTATTTATAGTGCTTGTGGATACTATCTTTAGGAGTTTAAATCATAGTAGAACTCTATCCTATTTTTTGAATCCTAGCAAAATTCTATCCTATCTTTAGGAGTTTGAATTCTAGTAAGACGAAAAGGTGTGTTGACACACCGTAATAGTATCCGTTATATCCATAATCACTATAAACGTAACAAAGGAAAAACACGACTGTAAAAAACACGACTGTAATAGTAATTTTAAGACCTGATTCCTTTTATCCCGAACCAGGACCATTAGGCCTTTGACAGTAGGCAGTAGATCATTTGGTGAAAGTGGAGTGTTAATAGGGTTTGCCTTAACTTGAAGGTTATCACCAAGAAAGTCCTTTAAGAAATAGAAGGGGTCCCTTCCATGAAAGTGGAGTGTTAATAGGCAGCACCAGTTTTGTTATTCGCACTAGGAACTAGGGATGGATACGAAATTCAAATTTAATGGGTTTTGACATGATTAGATTAAGTCAGATTTTTTTTTAAAATAATTTTAAGATCGGATGCGTCGAATTTTTAGAGGATAAGTTGATACCCTTTTATAGAACGATAAACTAATAATTAATATCATATTGCAAGAAATCACGATATTAATTCAAAATATTTTTTTTACAAAATAATAAATTTAACTAACATAAATAATTTTATTTTACCATCATTAATTTTCTATATTATACTAATGAAAAATTAATATTTTTAATGTATCACATCATCAAGCTAACAAAAGTTAACAATTCAATAATCAAAATAAGATTGATCAATAATGTATAAATCATTATTTTTTTAAGATTGATGACCAAAATAAGATAGATTAAAACAAAATGCTCGTCAGTGTCGTTTGCCCTAATTTTTGCGTCCCATTTAGAGTTTCTGCGTTTAGGGTTTCTGTGTTTGAAACACAATAACAATGGCATCGTTCGGGTCCATCAAATCTGCAATATTCGATAGGGAAGAGAAACAGTTCCGCTTTCTTCTTTCTTCCAAATTCACTGTTCTAAATATTTTCTTACGATTGAATCGAACAAAACCCACACGCATCTTTTGAGCTCACTTTATTTTAAAATTCTCAATCTGAATCTCAGGCAATACCAATCTCACATTCACGGTCTCAACGCCTACAAGTTCTTGAACGATTATGGTAAAGTTTCCTTAACTGAGTTTCTCGTAGCGGTTAATGCTTTGGTTTTTTTTTCATGTATTGCCATCGCATTTCATTTATCTGTTATACTCGTCGAGAATACTTGCTGCGCTATTCATTGCTTTTTAAATTGGAAAATGGACATGGAAGGAATAATGCAAATAGTGAGCGCTATATATTTTTTTATCCTTGTGTCCTAAAAAAACAAGTGGATGATGAACAGTCTTCTCCTTTGAGAATGGAAGGAGGCTACAGTCAGCCACACATTTTATTTCCAATGCTAGAACTAGTCTTTGTATGTGGTGTTTCTCACTTTCAGGTGCATCTTGCTTACTGTTTTGCAGGCCAGTTGGCTTCTATGGAAAAGAAAAAAACTACAGATGTGAAGTTGCCAGTTAAAACAGATCATGATACCCTGAGGGAGGGACATCGGTATACTTTTGTTATTTGTATGAGTGGCCTTGCACGTCACTATGTCACTTTATAACCTTATCCACCTCTGTCGACATTCTTCTTGTTTTGCTTTCATCTCAGCTTTGGTTTTCTCTATATTTCTATCAAACGTTCTATTTTCAAATGTTGATTTTCTTCCCTATCCTTCTTAGTCTCTTCTAGTAATGATTGTGGAGGTGGAGATAACATATGATCCCAGTGATGAAACATTTAGTAATCAGAAAATGAAGGTGAAACAGAGGTTAGAAGAGTTGGCGCTCCCTTTCAATGGTAGAGAGGTTGAGGAACCAAACTAACCCCACCCCTTGTATTTCACTTTCATGATTAGTTGATACTTGGCAACCCCTGAGGGATCATTCTTCCTTTATTATTTCTCGGATGGTAACTGGGGTATTGCTCGTTTGACAAAATAAATGGATGAAACTCCTATGTTCGTCTGTTTTAATAAAATAAACCATGCAAAACTTCAATCTTTGGTTATTGTCGTCTACTTAAGTTCTTCAAGTTTTCTATTTTCATAACTACATAGTAGGGCTAATTTGTTTACATTCTCTGTATTGTTGAATCATTCATACGGGGTATATGATAATAGTCTTACATTGTATACATCGGTCTTTCAATGATTGTACTAGATACTCATTGTCATGTGTTAACTTACTGATTAACAAAATGCAACTCAAGAGTTGCAGAATGGGAGAGTCACATCCATATATGATAAATTCGTGAGTATTCAATAAAGACAATTCAGAGGAGTGATAATGTGTTGCCGAACAGCAGATCAAAAGGTGTTACTGCCTATCCTTGTCTGTTTGTTCAATCCCATTATTATTTAAAGCTTATGAAGTTGAAATGAATACTAGGATGTAGGAAGAGAGACAAAAATGATAGAAGCTGCAAAAGCCATTGAGTCAATTCCTCCTGAATTGTTTTTCTTTTTGGTTCTCAATTATAACAAAGTTGTTCCGATAGTAAACTAACCCCTTGATAAAATTATATATTAAGGCACAAAGAAGCGTCAAAATTTGCTAGCAGAAATTAATGAAATACCCTGTTACCTATAGTGATATCAGTAACATGAGCTTACATCTTTTGTTTCATCTAAACCCAATTCCTAATTTTGGGTCTTAATACAAACTAAAAGCTCATTCAAGTAAAAATTAATCAAAAGCACTTTCTATGAACAACATAAGGTCTCGTTTCATAATAATCTGCCTTTGTTACATGCTGATTTTGTGGAATCACCACTTTAGCCAGAATTGCACCACCAACCAGGCTGAGTGCAGTGCCAAATTCTCTGGCATATATTCTGTTGGCTGCAATTAACATAAACTCAGAAAGGTTAAGACAATTAACAAGGAAGTAATGCAAATAGTGAGCTCTATATTTGTTTTATCCTTGTGTCCTAAAACAAGTGGATGATGAACAGTCTTCTCTTTTGAGAATGGAAGGAGGCTACAGCCTACAGTCAGCCACACATTTTGTGTCCAATGCTAGAACTAGTCTTGTATGAGGTGTTCCTCACTTTTCAGGTGCGTCTTGTTTTTGTTGTTTGTATTAGTGTTCTATCAGAATTTTGGATGCAAATTTGGGTTTTGTTCCTACGATGATAATATTTTTGTTGCTTCACAGCCATTAACATTTTTGCCCTGCTTAATCCGGGTTTTGAATGTAAGTTCCAGAAAGAAGCAAGCCTCTCCTGTCGGCTATCTGTCCGTGTCTAGCGAAGGTAATATATCAGTCTGTGTAGACCTAACTTTCTTGTTGATTGTCTTGATCTTTCTGAGCTTATGTTGATTGCAGCCTCCAGAATATATGCAGAGAATTTGGCACTGTACTTGGCATGGGTGGGTGGTGATCAGCATGTAACGAAGGCATAATATGATGATACGGGGCCTTGTGTTGTTCATAGAAAGTGTTTTTGATTATCTTAGGATTAGCTGAAACAAAGTTGTACGTTCATGTTACTGATATCAGTATAGGTAACTGGGTATTTCTGCTTATAATTTTGACGTTTCTTTGTGCCTAAATAATTTTATCGAGGGGCTTGCTTATTCTCGGAACAAATTTGTTATAAATCCAGAACCAATTGACTGAATGGCTTTTGCAGCTGCTTTCATTTTGTCTCTCTTCCCGCATCATAGTATTCATTTGGCATAATATCAAAATCCAGAACCAAAGTAATCCTTTTAGCTCAATTTTTTTTTTTTTGACATTTTAACCCATAACGTTTCATTTTAGGGTAGAAAAGTCTATGACATTTGATAATATAATCATTTTGGCACTTTTTTTTCTTGGAGTATTTTGGCCCTTAGCGTTTTATTTTAGGGTAAAAAATATTCTTATTTTAGAGCGTTAATTGTGTGTTAACTAAAGGTTTTCATATATAGAAAGGTGTTTTGTCATAAAAATGAAACGTTAGAACCTGAAATATTTTAAAGAAAATAGTAAATGTCAAAATGACTATTTGATAAACTTTGTGGTCTAAATTTGGCATTATGCCTATTCATTTCAACTTGTAAACCGCTTCATAAGCTTAAAAGATTAGTGAAGGATAGGCAATAACAGCATTTTGATCAGCTGCTCGACCAACTCATTATCACTCTGAATTGTCTTTATTGAATACGATCATATATGGATGTGAACCTAAAGTGTTGGATTCAACAATATCAGACTTATGTGTACGACTAGCTGGTGTTGTTAATCAATAAGTTAACTCTGATGACAGAAAACAGAAAACTTGAAGAGACGGCGAGTTTTGCAGGGTTTATTTGATTAAAAACAGAAGTTTGATCCAGTTATTTTGAGAAACGAGCAATTCCCAGATACCATCCGGGAAAGAAGAAAGGAAGAATGATCCGTCTGAGTTGCCAAATATCAACCCAACATGAAAGTGAAATTTACAAGGAGAGGTTGGTTCCTCGACCATTGAAAGGGAGCGCCAACTATGTTTCACCCTCATTTTCTGATTACTAAATGTTTCATCACTGGGATCATAGAAATATAGAGAAAAGCAAAGCAGCGGTGAACAAGAATTTTGGACAGAAATATATTTCGACGGAAAAGAGCCGATGGGGTTTCTTCTTTCTTGTAGGGTTTTGGCTTAGCATAATTTGCTATCCTATGAAACCAAAAGAGAGAGACCGTTTACATTATTAAGGCCACACTACTGGAAAAGTTTAAAGCTCTTACACAAGTCTCCACTCCCTTTGACACACTCAAATTAGAAAAATTCTACGACGCACCTCGTATATTGAAACACTCAAATTAAATTAATAGGGATTAATGACTAAAATTCAATAAATTAATAATGCAAGTGATTAAAACATAACTTTATTGAAAGTTATTGAATTGATGAATAAAATATACAAATATAAAAAATGCTAAAAGCGATAATTAATTTTTTTTTGGGGGGGGGGGGGGGGTGCACTGTAATATCAATGCGTTTTAGCTGTTTAATTTTAACGGTTCAACGGCAACAAAATACAAACAAAAGGACATAAAGGAAATAAAGAGAAAAATATACTAATATTTTTTTAGTTAATTGCATCACATGTCCAAGTATGACACTAATTTTAAATTTCTCCTTAAACTTTTGAGCATTTCAATTTCTTCCCCAAAATATGATCATCATTTTAAATTAGTCCCCAAACTTTTTGAACATTCCAATTTTATCCCAAACTATATATATTTACTAATCACATCCTACGTTAATAAAACCGATAGGTCAAGTTATATTATTATATGTTTTAAAAAAATAAAATTTAGGTTAAATAATGGTTGAAATTAATTACATATTTGGATGAATTTGGGAATGAGATTGGAAGATTCAAAAGTTTGGGGATCAATTTAGAAAGAGAGTCATAGCTTAGGGATTAAATTAGAATGTTTAAATTTTTAAGGGTTAATTTAGAATGAGAGTCATAGTTTGGGGTGAAATTTGAATATTTAAAAGTTTAAGGACCAATTTAAAATGAGGGTTGTAGTTTGGGGACATATGATGAAATTAACCCATTATTTGAAAATGCAAATAATATTTTAAGAGAAAATAACCTCAGTGACCAAAAATGCCTTATAATATACGATTTTAACCAACTTTTTTGGATTTGTCAAAATGATCAACTAAATCGCAATGCGATCGATAATTCGCAATGCGATCTCCGATATCGCAAATCAGTTTCCAGATTCGCAACGCGAACTTCGACTATCGCATTGCGATTTACATATTCGCATTGCGATAGTCCAAGTTCGCGTTGCGATAGTCCAAGTTCGCGTTGCGATAGTCCAAGTTCGCGTTGCGATAGTCGAAGTTCGCGTTGCGATTTATTCCAAATTCGTTGCGATTTATTCCAAATTCGCTGCGATAGTCCAAGTTCGCGTTGCGATTTATTCCAAGTTCGTTGCGATAGTCGAAGTTCGCGTTGCGATTTATTCAAAATTCGTTGCAATTTATTCCAAATTCGTTGCGATAGTCCAAGTTCGCGTTGCGATTTATTCCAAGTTAGTTGCGATAGTCGAAGTTCGCGTTGCGATTTATTCCAAATTCGTTGCGATAGTCCAAGTTCGTTGTGATAGTCGAAGTTCGCGTTGCGATTTATTCTAAATTCGTTGCGATAGTCCAAAATCGCAACGACGGTATTGCATTTGTTTCTTAAGAATTTTCTCTAAAAAGATAGTATTCGCGCGGACGTGTCGAAGACACGTATTACCACGACCACGACCACGAGACGAGACGTGACGGCGGCAGCGGCGGCGCGCGAGAGTCCCCCTTGTTCTCTATCACTCAACAAGGAAGTGGGAAAGCCAAGTCTTAAATACCATTCCCAATAGTGTTTCCAATACTATGTGGGATTGAGCATTACCAACACTTGTTCCCAATACTATGTGGGATTGAGCCTTAAATAGTGATATTATTTTTGAATGTTTTGCTTAAAATTGCAATATTCGCGATTGATTGTAGATTGACTTTTAATTATGACATATTTAATCGTATAATACTTATGCAATTGGTTGTTGATTCAGTTGTTTTAAGGTGCATGATTGTTAATTGTTTCCTGAATAATCACATTGTATTGAAAACAAGTGTTGGTAATGCTCAATCCCACATAGTATTGGAAACACTATTGTGAATGATATTTAAGGCTTGGCTTTCCCACTTCCTTGTTGAGTGATAGAGAACAAGGGGGACTCTCGCGCGCCGCCGCTGCCGCCGTCTCGTGGTCGTGGTCGTGGTCGTGGTCGTGGTAATACGTGTCTTCGACACGTCCGCGCGAATACTATCTTTTTAGAGAAAATTCTTAAGAAACAAATACAATACCACCAGTCGTTGCGAATTTGGAAAATCGCAACGCGAACTTGGACTATCGCAATGCGAATATGTAAATCGCAATACGATAGTCGAAGTTCGCGTTGCGAATCTAGAAACTGATTTGCGATACCGGAGATCGCGTTGCGAATTATCGATCGCATTGCGATTTAGTTGGTCATTTTGGCAAATCCAAAAAAAGTTGGTTAAAATCGTATATTATAAGGCATTTTTGGTCACTAAGGTTATTTTCTCTATTTTTAAATAAAAATATAAAATAAAGATACTACTTTATTAAGTCTCCGGCTATTAAAAGTTACAAAATGGTCCATCAACTATAGGAAATTGTTTTGTTGAGTCCCTCGACTATTAAAAGTTACAAAATGGTCACCTGACTATTCATTATATTCTAAACTCATCCATTTCCTTAAAAAGTTGTTCACAGTCTAAGTTGAACTTTAACCTATTGACTGAGATATGATAAAATTTGATCTCATGATCTCAAACGATTATCATATCTCACTCTACATGTTAACGTTTAACTCAAACAATCATTATTTTTTCAACGAAAAAGAAAGAGTTTAGAATGTAATGAATAGTCAGGTGACCATTTTGTAACTTTTAATAGTCAAGGGACTCAACAAAGTAATTCTCTATAGTTGAGGGACCATTTTGTAACTTTTAATAGTCAGAGGACTCAATAAAATAATATCATATAGTTGGGAGACTATTTGTGTATTTTACCCTATTTTTAAAATAAAAATTTAGAATAATGAAAATATTTTTTAATAAATGCGAGTAGTATTTTTTAAATAAAAATATAAAATAAGGAAATATGATTGGGTGTAAATGATCTGTCAGTTTAGGCTCGGGAATTCGAGTGTTGAAGTAATTGGTTTTCGATCCTTAACCGCTGTCTGTGGAGTGTTGAAGTAACTGGTATCGTAGTTTCTCTGTCGCTCTCGCCTTATGTAGGAAACACAAAAATTTCTCTGCTTACACCCACCATAATTAGTTTGGGAATAAATTAAATCCCACCTTTTATTCTTTGTTTATTACTCATTGCTATTGTTTTATTTGTGAACTGAGAGATAAAGGGAGTTAGCTGCTGCTTTGCATTCCTGCTCACTGTCCTCCTAACTTGATTCTTCATTTTCAAGGTTCGTATTGTAGATCGGTTTTCACTCTCAGATTTCGCTTTCTCTCGTTGCTTTCTGGTTAGATCTGATGTGGATTTGCTCTCATTTCCAAGAGATCGAGGCCCTTGTTCAGGTTTCGAGTTCGATTTCCCTTTTAAGTCTTTTCTGTTTTCATCATGAAAACCGTGATGATGTATTTCACGGGTTATTAACGGCTTTGTTTCAGCCTTTTGAAATTTTATTCATCGGAAGGTTTTTTGCTCTAAATTTTAGTACCGGAGTGCTCAACTCTTGCTATTTTTCTCTGTTTTATTTGCATCCAAATTGTGTGGTATCTTTGGTGAACGCTTTGAATTAGAACTCGTTGGATGTGTCGAGTTTTCTGTTTAAGACTATTTGGATTTGGACCTGTCAGTTGCATTCATCACTACGATGCTTTTGCTATTTGTCGATTTGTTTACTTCGAATTCTTAAGCAGTCGACTTCATTAATTCAATTAACTGGCAATGTTGGGATGCATCAGAAGAAAATTTAAATAGTCATCTAACAAAAGCATTTTTGTTACAGTTCTTATTTAAATTTCTTTCGTTGGGAAGTTCTTTGAGTCATTTGCAGTTCTAGTTAGTGAATGATAAGTTCTGTTTCTCGTTATTTATTTATTTTTCAGATTTGGGCAAAAAAACGTTCTCTTGAAGTGGAAGATTTATTGTGATTTACATTTGAAGATAAAGGCATGCACACATCTTGTTAACAATTTGGATCCATTGTTCCCAACTGACAAAAGAAGCCGGTGACAATGCAATCAGGAGATTTTGGGGTATGTATTGGAAGAATTATTCAGAGTAGTCTCTGATTTTCAGTTTGCGATATTGATTAGAAAGTGGATGATAAGAGAAAATTAAGCCACTCATTGATTATTCATTTATGTTCGTGAATGTTCACTAATTCATCCGTTTATGTTCATTCGGTTATGTTGGTTTGAATTTATTCACATATGTATTTTTCACCCAACAGCTCATTATCTCTTTCATTTCACGATAGATTAAAAAAATTCATATATCGTTTAAATCTATGTTGCTTATGTTTGTTTACATTCGTTTGTATTCGTTTATCATTTTAATGAACGAATACAAAAAAATTACATTCTTTAATGAACGAATACGAACAATAAATTATGTTCATTTAATTGTTCGTGTTCATTCATTTATTCGATTAAAATTAAACAAATGAACATGAATATATTCTCATTGGTTGGTTTACATGCCTATTTGAGACCACTAAGTATCCATAGATGCGTTGGGATTGGTTAATTCCCCGGCATCAGTCCCACAAATCAGGGTGCCTTTGTCTGCCCAATTGGCATTTCATATTACCTTATTATGTTTTGTTGACACTTGGGCTTTATAGGCAGTGTAGCTCTTTTGGATGTAAGTTCTATGCCCAATCTGGTAAATCAAAAACTACATGAATCGTTTTCAGATTCAATTTAAGGCTTAAAACATTCAAAGCAGCCCCTACTTCCTTTCCAAAAAAAACTGTCCATAATTCTGAGAGAAAAAAAAGGTCAAAAAATTTATATAAATTTATGTTCAATCTTTAATAATATATTTACTTGATATATTAAAAGAAGAATCTATCAAGAAATTAGGAAATGCTTTTAATCGCATTTGATTTTTTAAGGGATTAAGTACATGTCCATTATTTTAAATAAATTATTAAATATAGTTCAATATATTAAGAAAATAAGAAAAAAAATTGCATACCCATTTTATTGAAAAAATTATTAAAATTTTTAGGCCCCGTTTGTAAATTTTTAAATCCACCGCTACCTTTAATGAAAAAGAAACAAATACAGGCCTTCAGCAATCAATCTCGTTTTGATTGAGTTTAGATCGTGTATTCAGACACTTGCTATATGGACGAAAACGAATTATAAAAGAAAAATATTTTAAAAGTTTAATCATCAAATGACCATGATCAATTGAAATAGTAAAAGATGCGCATATAAACCTTTACTGAACGTGCGTTCGATCAAATTTTATAGTTATTTATTTAAATATATATATAGAGAGAGAAGTGTATTTTTTTAAATTTTATACTTCTTTTGACATTTTTAGATAAGTGAATATAAACGATTAAGTTTAACAGTAGAAAATGAGAAAATATTCACAAGATAAAAAAAAACAAGTAGATAATCTTAATTGTTTATTTTTTATTTATACAATTGTTCTAAAAAGATGTAAAACTGAAAGTTTTATGTTTGATATAAGTGGATCTTAACCTATAAAAGTGACATCATAACAATATTTATTATTATTTAAAAGATGACATTTTAATTTTTTTCCAAAATGATTAACTTGGCAACAATTCAATCATACACCTAACATGTTAATATAGATAAATTATTATTAAATATACATCAGCCTAAAAATTGATCACTTTTATCACTTTGTTATATAATTTTTTTTATCACTTTCGTAAATGAAATTGTAAATTGTTCTTATTGTTGGTCAAGATAATGTGACATGGTATGAATTTGATATCACGACATGGTACAATAACAAAAAGGTATCACTGAAGATTAATTCACAACGTACATGTACGTTATAGATAGTTAAGAAAATATCTAGGTTTGTACTTCTCTAGGTCATGATCCACTCATGCTTAAAAAAGGTAAATTACTTATTTAGTCACACACTTATTGTTTAATTTATGTTTTGGTCATCCAATTATTATTTATTTTAAATCATACATAACATTACATTTTGATTTTGTTTTGGTCACTCGTCTTTAAAAAATTAATGGTGATATTAACGTGCAAAGCATTCGAAAATGACCAACAGCCACATAGCACAAGGTTAACAATGGATGCCACCACCGGAAGGGTGGTACAAAGCCAACACGGACGGAGCCTGGAGAAATCAGATGGTAAAGCAGCATGTGGGGGACGACTGATCAGAGGAGGAAATAGTGATTGGAAGTTTGGATTCAAAAAATTCGTAGGAATATGTTCAGTTATGGAGACGGAACTGTGGGGTGTTTAAATCGGACTGCTGTTTGCACGGGACAACGGAATACAACAACTGATCGTCGAAATGGATAGCTTGGAAGCGCTCCGCACAATAAAAAATAAGATGAACAGACACGGATCATTAACCATAATTTCACACATACGTGAACTACTCCAGCGTGCATGGGTGGTCAGACTACAATACGTACATAGAGAAAACAGAATTGCAGACAAACTGGCCAAAAGCGCAAGTCTTGAAGACGCTCAAACAAGACTCCTCTCCGATCCTCCTGTGGAAATAACTCTCCTCTTGCAAGAGGAAGACGTCTCAGTTTAGGGAGTAGCTAGTTTTCATTTTCTATATAAAAAAATTATATTGCTTCAACTAATATATTTTTCTAGATTTAATTCATATATATAATTGTTGTTATATTTTTAAATGAAAATATTTATGAATTATATTAGATGAATTTTTATTATATTTATATTGAATCAATTTATATTTTTTTTGGATTCACTACTACCTACAGACAAAATTATTCAAACTCAATATATCTAAAAATAACAATATTTCCTTTAATCATTTAGATCACCTGACGAATTCTTAAATTCGTTGGATTAAGAAAATGGTACGCGACTAATTTCTCAAGTCTAGCCCTATTTACATATTATATATGCATATTATATGTTGAGTAAATCGTAATTAACAATATTACAAAATCCATAAATAAAGACGGTACTCGTAACGGAAAGTGCATTTGTATTTTGATTATTATTATTATTGATGGAGAGTTTACGTAATCTACATCCATGCATCAGCCTTTCCACTAATTACAAAAACTCTACCTTCAAATTATTCCCCTATTTTTTTACATGAAATCGAAACTACAATTCAACAAATATAATCTTTTTATTTCGTCTTTCTATATTTCTGTATCACTATTCACATTTAATTTCTCTTTAGAAAAGTGGCGACCATGGTTCTTGCACTGATCCTGCATTCCTCATGTTTGAATTCATATACTCTGTACTAATCTTCACCTATTTATCCTTATTCCAAGACGTCCCAAATTGAAAAAAAAAATCCAAAAAAAATGTATAATGAATCAATAAGGAAGATAAGAGGGGGGGGGAATGAAGAATATTTCTTATATGTGGCTTTGGGTATAGAGAAGAGATTTGGAAGATAGAGGGCAAGGTTGTAAGTGTAGGTTGAGTTACTCAACTTGGAAATCAAGGAAATTAGGGAAGGAGGATATATTGTCCATCAAACCCTCTAAATCCCATTCTCCCATTTTCAAGTTTTCTCCTCCCCAATGATGATTTTCTAACCCGAACATGTCTCCTACTTTAATGCTCTGATGATCAGTGTTGTTGAAGCAAGTGTTATTATGGTGGCTGTTGCGTTTCCTGTGATCAATGCTGTTGTTAATGGCTGCTGCGGCATTGTTGTCTTCAATACTTCTACTCTCAAGTGGAGGAAGAGAAAAGTCACATTCAAACCCTAATTTCCCAGGCTCTAGTACCCCATAATCCCCATAAAATGATGCCTCCCCCATACCTCCCTGTGTTAAGCATGTGGGCACATCTAGTAAACCTGGTGCACACGTCAGGTCGTATCGGTTGTTGATATTGAGCAGCGGAAACGGATCGAATTGGTTGTTTGTAACCATCGGCGGTGGCATTGATATTTTCGATGATGAGGAAATCGAGTCCATGCAGAAGGTCACCGAGTACTGTTCGTGCAGAGGGAAAATCCCTCCTCCTGCAACATCTCTGGGATCCGATGAATCATTTTTGTTGGGTGATGAGGTTGTTGATGCGTTGTTTTTCAATCTTTTCTTTAGTGTTGAGTTCCAGAGGTTCTTTATTTCATTATCCGTCCTTCCTGGAAGACGAGCAGCAATTTGAGACCACCTGCAAATTTCGGGAACCAATCAAAACAATAAGACATGGATGGATCTAACTATAATCTATAATATAAAACTTCAAAAGATATGTTTAAAACTTGTTGAATTCTAACACATTTTAGGTTTAGAGCATTTCAATTAGACAAGATAGGCTCGTATGTTAAAAGGAAATGAAACCCCATAAAATATGAGTGGTGATGCATGGTGCTGGTGTGTACATGGACTACTTCTTGAAGCTTTATTAGCAGAGAATTCGGGAAGTTTGGAAAAGAAAAAACTTGAACAGAAAAGAAAAGGTTTAATTTCTTAACTAGGGTTCAAATGTAGCCAGAAATTTATTAGATCAGAAGTACCATATTCAATGGGATTGAACAAGCCTAGCCTACATTGATGTATATATGGCATTCCTAAGCGGTTCTAAACAATGAACTACACCAAGAACTTGCTTGGTAACGCACAATGATATAATTATTAGTTCATGTGTTGGTGGCATTGTTTAACTTGATATGGTATTTAGAAGAGAAAAAGAACCTGTTGCCAAGGATGGAATGGAAATGTATGATGAGGTCTTCCTCTTGGGGAGAGAAGGCGCCACGCTTGAGATCGGGTCTCAAGTAATTAATCCAACGAAGGCGACAACTCTTGCCGCACCTCTGCAGACCAGCATTCTTAGCAATGTCACTCCAACAGCCTTGGCCATTGGTCAGCATGTACTTGATGAGTTTCTCGTCCTCTTCTGGTGACCACAGTCCCTTCCTCAGCTTCATCTTGTTGTTGCTGTTGTTAACTCTGTCTTTTGCCATATTTGGATCAGGCTTCCTCATTGCCGTGCTGGGTCTCGATCTGATCTAGTGGAGCCTTTTTCCTCTTTTTAACTGGCTTGACGGGGATAAGAGAGAGATATAATATAGGTGAATGATGGTTGCATTGGAGAGAGAAACAGAAAGCTTGATGGGGCGGTAATGGTGATTATGATAGCGATGGTTGTGGGGTTTATTTGCTTTAAAATATGAATATCAATAGTATTGTTATGATTTTCGTCCCTTTATTATACCAAAAATTTGAGATTTAATCTCTCTACTTTAAATTTTGCATAATTTGATCCTCTATTTCTATAATAATGACATAATGATAAAAATACCCTCCAACATTTGTACAAATATTCATTTTACTCCCTATTCTTTTTTTTGGAGCATTTTACTCCCTAACGTCTTATTTTTTTTTTGTCAAAACAGACCCCTATTAGATGAAAACCGTTAATTAACTAAAGGTCAACTCATGTTTCTAATGTGGCATGTGTCACGTCACCCAAAAATAATGATGTAACATGTGTCATGTCATGTCTCCTAAAGTGATGATGAGGCATGTGTCATGACACCCAAAATGATGACATAACATGTGTCATGTCATCCAAAGTGATAATGTCGCATTTGTCATATCAACAACATGAATTGATTGTTAGTCAACAACTAATTTTATCCAACAAGGTCTGTTTTGACCAAAAATTAAAATGTTAGATTAAAATGCTCAAAAAAAGAATATAATGCAAAGTGATCATTTATCTACAGCATTGTCAGTTGTTTTGTTAAAAACGTGATAAGTATTCTTTATATTATTATTCAATCATACAGTTAGAGTTATATGAAAATTCGATCAATCGTATTTCATCATTGATAAATCTATACGTGAGTTGAATGTTTCAAATTCTTATCCTTCATATCTGTCGACCAACAAAATACTATCGCTTTTTTAAACTATATCGTGTCGTGGCATTGGCACAAGTTGACATCGTCTATTTGGGCACCCTATGAGTTCCTTAAAGCTTTGACACACCTTAAGGTGCATCTCCCCAAACTTAAACCAATGATCTCCTCATATGGGAATCCACTTGGTAATTTTAGTACAATACGGTGCCAAGAGAGGACAATCCGGCTTGTGTTCATGATGTAGGTGCAAATTGCCCTAGGGAATATATATATTGTAAAGTATAGGAATCAAATATAGGAACTTAAAGTATATCATTTTTAAACGTAGAAGAGGGACTAAAACAATAATTAGACCAGTACGAATATATTTATGTGTGTGTGAGAGAGAAAGAGAGAGAGTTTTGTTGGTTGATGGGTAGAGTGGAAAACGGATTGGAGGGGGACCTCACTTGTCTCACACATAGGAATGAGATGGGATGGTTGGTCGTCTTGTCTTTGACTCTATCTTGTCTTTTTCGATGCATTTTTCTTCACTCACAAGGAAATCATCATATGCATACGAGACACCCAGTTTTGCTTCCACTTCACATAATCCTCCCCTCTCTCAACCCACACGTGTTTTTGAAGGATAACCCTATGCTATGCCCCATTAATGGCCCCCTGGACAGGGAGAGGATGAACCGAGCAGCGCAGTCGCCTTTTTTAAAATTTTCAAATTAGTATATATTTAGATATTTTTTTATTTTCAACTGATAATTTGTTCTCGTCTTTTAGAATTTTATAAATTTAATTTTTCTTAAAATTTTAGAAATTCATCCCTTAACATAAAATCATAATCCCTCCTAAGAATGAATCCTTGCAAAGTGAGACCCCAGACATATACAACAAGAACAGCAAAAGAACCGGAACTATTTTTATCCATATACCATAATAATTAATGCCTTTTAGCTTTTAGGGTTCAAGTCTCCCACATATGATCTCCCTCAGCTTTCCGGATGAGAAACGTGATGAATAATATATCTGGAAACAGTGCATGATTCATATTAATTCCTTCTTGTTATTACTTGATCCTTCGTTTGATCAACAATAGTCTAACATAAGGTCTATATACGATACGTAATGTACCAAAACTTTATATAATATTTTATGTTTCCTTTTACTTACCAAATTCCTGCATGCCAAGAATGGGTAACATTCATGTATCGTTGGAACCAAGTCCTATCCTATATGAGAGAAGGATCTGAGTCAAACATGCTTGAGGTGTATGTTATTTGTGTTGTGTGGACAGCGACTGCCACAAATTGTGGCAAAAGGTGAGGGGAAAACTCTCAAGTTACTCAAATGTTTCCAAAGTATTCTCTTCATCATATCAACAGCTGTCCAGGGGAAACAAAATCTTTGTCATGCTTGTAAGGATGTTCCAAGCAACAAACTACTTAGTTAAAAAGACAAGAAAAAACACCTAGCTACCTCTATCGCTTTATTCCTATTGCATTGATGCATATTTATTCATGTTTGAATGAATCAGTCTGTATATGCTATAATACGTTCTTACGAGAGAGAAGATATCAAATTTGGTTCCTGACAATGCGGGGAAAGCATGACCTGAAAATCAAGGGAAGTAAAATACAAGAATATGGAAAAAGGAAGGAGGAAATTAACAACTTGGGAAATTATAAGCTTTTGAGTTGAAACTTGGACTTAATTATATATATATAGAGCAAACTATGTTGAAATGGTCGTCATCGTCTCTACAATAACACAAAAACTATTAACACATACACGAATTACTTAAGATCATACAATGACCATACAAAGAAAATGTTAAAAATCTAACAAAAAAAACTCGAACAAAATATAGATACGAACATATCTGATCGCATCGGCAAACGAATCACAAAAGGGGATAAAGCTATTGAAAGATCAACGACAAATCACAAATATGAGTTTAGCAACTTGAAAAACTATCCACCATCGCAAATTGCGCCAAATCCAATCCGATAGTCCAAAGCAGAGAATATTAGCATGATAATAAATAAACTTCATCTTGATCGGTTGTGGATATTTCAAATCCAACTCTGAGAAAAAAATAAACTAAAACGGTTAAACAACTGAAAATGTGTCATAAAACAGAGAAAAATGTATCATAAATGTAGAAGAAAACGTTTCATAAAAGCGTAATTAATAAAATCTAAAAAACAAAGCAAATATGTGATATAAAAATTAAATGAAAAACAAGAAATATTGGTGATGGCAATCAGCACAAAGGTTGGTGCCACCGCCTATCAACCAAGAATGAGAAAAGAGATAAACAACTTTAAAGTTTTTTAGAGATAGGCGATTAGGGAAAAAAGAAAAGAAAAGAAAAAACACTGAATGCAATTATATATAAATTACTATATTATGACGTTTGTGAATAAAGTAAATTGGGTTAAGAGGGTCATCCTTCCTTCTGTAGTATCCGATCCAGATTAGTTTATCAATAGTCGGATACTGGTGTTATACCAAAAAAATATTTAATACATTTATGTTATATATACTATGGTATGATTCAATAGACATTTGATCCGTTTGTAGAGTGTTTGAACTTTTAGTTCCAGTCGGATGAATGATAACGTTGGTCGCATTGGCGAATTCACAATATATTTAAGGTAATTATCTACTTTGAAATTTGAATTTTCTTATGTTGATTATCAATTTTAATGATTATGCCATTTTGAAATTTTATTTGTACCCACACACAATTGTAAAAATTATTTTTAATATATATATATATATATATATTAATCCTAAAATATATTTTTGGATTGATTAATTGCCTTAAGTATTATCATACTTTTATAAAAGTCACTCTAAAAGGTTTCACTTTCTTCACCAACGTTATTGACGTCCAAGTTTTTCTTTTGTAGATCTTTTATTAAATTATTAACGAGATGCTAATATGATTGGTTTAATTGACAAAATAATAAATTTAACCCTCAACATTTATATATTATTGTAATTTGATTTTGATTCTAATAATTTCAATATACTTAACCCGTAACACTTACAAATTCCAGTATATTTAATCTTAATTCTATTTTTTTAAAAAATTACATAAAAATTATTTAAAATTATAAAATATAAGAAAAATTATTATCGATCAATCAATGTGGATTTAAGATAAAGAGAAATCTTACTTAAAATAACTTGTAACTTTCAACCTGTTATAATTCAATTACATATAAATTAAGGAACATGTGAAACTAAATTTTCAATCTATCATTTATATTTATTTTGTTTTCATCCCCATGCTTACTTCTGTACTACGTTGCATTATTGATCTTTGTTTCTGCCAAGTTTGGATCCTTCAAATAAGTTTGGTCTGCCTTATGACAAAGGGATTTTCTTTCATCTGATTGAGACCTTGAAACGAAAACACTTTAACAAATGCAAGTATCCTTGCCGGTAAATATGCAAAACCTTTGACTTCTCATGATCGCAACGACTAGGGATGGACCGAAAGGGTGGATGGGGGCAACCGCCCTCTGAAAATTTAAAAATTATCATTTAATATAGATTCTTTTTAATGTATTTTCTAATGAAAATTTGTTTTTACCGCCTAAAATTTTATAAATTTGTCATATCTTAAAATTTTAGTTCACTCCTAACATAAAATTATGCATACCTCCCTCAATTGCTTAATGCTACAAAAAGGAGCACTATACATAACACCAACCGAAATGACCTTTTTCATTAATTGCACATTTGCTTCTTGCAAATAAGCTCTTAGTTATACGCCATCTCAAGCTCCATTACTGCCTCGGCAGCATTGTAATTAAGTTTGGTTTAGAACTCCACACGTTGATAGATGTGCTTGCAGAACTAAAGCTTCTAGGGTGCTAGGATAATATGGGAAAAACCTTGTCATAACAATCTTCAAACAGCCCGAATTTTCGACTCAATGTGTGGAGGTCGACCTATAATGATTTTGGGTCGGCCTATGATTTTGAATTGGACTTTTAGGGTTTTTGGGTCTCCATTAGGCCCATTCAGGCTTAAATTGAGAGATTTCAAAGCTAAATTTGGGGTGTTTATATGAGGTCACCGTCCATGCATAGGCACAAGCCCCATATCTCCACCACCCACTATTTCTCCTTCTCTAGCTTCACTCTTCACTGCCCTCCCTCCACCAGTCTTGGAAGCTTACACCATTGCACCTAGAGTTAAAATCTCATCTTTCCCGAGGTAATAAAAACGTTTAAATCTTCGAGGGCTACCATGTAAGTAGCATATTCCTTATTTTAGGAGGTGAGAGAAAAAGGAAGGGTTTTGATTTGAGAGCTCCTAGAGAGGATTTTGTGACATGTTGATGTTCTAAATTCATTCCTAAGGTATTCTTTGATCATTTTTCGGATGGGCTTCTTTTTTTCACTTGTCTGTGTAAGTTAAAGATCAAAGAAAATCATCTGAGCAAGAAACAAGGGTAAACTCGGAGAGCCTTGAGCAAGGAACTCCCTTTTGGTTAATTTTATGCAAGGTAATGTATGTTTAAGACTTTGTAGTAGCATGACTATCATAAAAACCATGCCTTATGATAGAATATAGATTATGATCATATTATGGATTTTGCATGATTTTTGGCTTGAATGTTATTTGGACGTCCTAAATTGTATTGCTAGATGCTAAATGATCCTAAAAACTCATATGAACTTTTAGGATCAAGTTAGGTCTTAGTGGTGACTTGTAGAGGGAATTTGAGGGTGTTTCCTGAGTCTTAGGACTCATTCTTTGAACTTCGATATCGATATTGCATGAATAATAATATCGATACCATATGAACTTAGAAAGAAATCTAGTTAAAAATTAGTAGTATCAATATTGTTCATCACATGTATCGATATTGTTCATCACAAGTATCAATGTTGTTCATAGGATATCGATACCAAGAACACTGGTATTAATACTGGGCTATCCTTCAAATTATGGTAGCTCATTTTGGTATCAGTATTAAAGGAGAGTATCGACATTATATAAGAGAAGTATCGATACTCAATTCATTTTAGCGAACTTTTAAGTTAGATTTAATATATATATTTATGATCAATATCAATATCGATATTAATATGGTAGTATCGGTACCCAACCAATTTTAGGACACTTCAAGCCTCATTTTAATATCCATACTGAGGGAAGGTATCCATATCAATAGAAGGGTAGGCCCATGGGGAATATAAGTACTACTAAGTTATTGAATTTAATTGTCTTATTTGACTGGGTAAGAGCTAGGATGCTTGATTTGGCCCAATGGGAGTATTAACTCCTTAAATGTTAATAACGCATTTACAGTGGTTGTCCAAACCCGACTAGATGGTAATTGATGATAAAAAAATAAAGTTATACACGATTTTTTTTTGACAAATTATAAATCTAATCTTAGTCTTAACTAAATGAGAGGGGGGAATGAAGGAGAGTAATCCGGGCAGTTCTGCGGTGCGGCGCCTTAGTATACAGTTAAAATAAGGCGCTACCGGTTTTGTTATTATTTTAAATAACAAAACTAGTAAAAAATGACCGAAAACATCATTATTTTGATCTGTTCTAATTACCTATATAGGTAAACGCGGTAAAAAATTCAGTCAAAAAATGATGGTTTCGATCATTTTTTACCGATTTTGTTATTTAAAATAACAAAACCGTTAGCGCCTTATTTTAACCGTATACTAAGGCGTCGCACGTGAGCGTTTCCCGAGTAATCCTAATAGGTCTAGAATTCATGACTTAAGTAAATACGAAGGAACAAAGATGAGCAACTTAATCGACTAGTCAAATATACTTACTCTTAAACATGTATATACATTCTATAGATTATTAAGATTAAATATGTTATAATAACAGTCATCCTTTAAAGATACCAACTCTTTTTTAACATATCATTATTCATAGTACATATATTTAATATATCTCTACATATTTTAAATATATTTTACATTACCCGTTTACTTGTACACACATTAATTCCATCTAATTACTTGTCATATATAATAGAATAATCTAATTATTATTTACTTGCCTGTTATTTAATTTCTGTTTTAATAATTTAATAATTATTTTTTAAATCATATGATTATATTTTGATTATTTTTCATTAAAAATTAATAATGGTGTTGATATGATATTTTTTATTATTTTTAACGATGATGTGATATTATTTTATGGTTACTTGTCAACACATTATTATTTTTTATCAACAAATGATCAAAATAGAATCAAAATGTAATGTTATAGGTGATTTTTTTAAATGCTTATTATAAAAAATTGCCCAAACTATACTTCTTTCCCCACTTAGGTGCCTAAAATTTTTTTCGGTCAATTTAGGTATCTAACGTTTCCAACATTATCATTTAGGTACTTCAGTTGTAACAAACGTTAAAAAAATTTCATCAACCACTTAAAATGTGACACGTGGCATGTTTATAATTGTAAAACTTTTATTTTTAAAAATTTTAAAATTATTATTATCATTAAAAAATCAAAATATTTCTAATGTCTCAAAATCCCTAATTCCAAAGCATCCACCCTATTTGTCAGTCTCCCATCGCCGCTATCGACCCTACCAACCGCCTACCCACCTTCGCCTACGAACCCATTGACGGCTGTCAATAATGGCTTCAAACATCTAAAATCTCTAAATTCAAACTGTAAAACCCTAAATCCCAACACACATCCATCTCAATCAGTGAGTTACTGATTGAAGGGTTGGTGACCGACAGATGAGTCAATGATTGCTGACAGTGGTGGTGATCGACGCCGAAATTGAAGGCCTTAAGGTATTTTATGAAGAATAGAAAAGTTATATTTTTAATTTATGAATTTTATTTTTATAAAAAATAAAAGAAATAAAAAATCAAGTTGTGTGTCGAATATTGATTGGTTGACTATTTTTTTACATATTCTTTTAACGGTCGTTACGACGTAGGCACCTAAATGATAACACTATAAACGTTAGATATCCTAATTGACCCAAAAAAATGTTTAAGCACTTAAATGAAAACAGATGTATAATTTGAGCACTATTTTTATAAATATTAAGCCTTAAAAAATAATAGATTTTATCAAAACATAAATTAAATAATAGGTGAGGACCAAACGAAAGTTTACCCTAATATAATAATATATTCCACCATCGACAGCAATTAATTTTAGGGCCCTACTTTCTTCAATCTTTTGTTTTCTCTACCAAACCTGCAAATTAAAGCTTTCAACACCCTGCACCATCTCTAGGACATTCTACAACCCTTTTCTTTCAGATTCCACACCGTTCCGTTCTTCAAATTAGATTGGGGTTTTTTTGTTGCTCTGCTTCATTTGAATTGTACGTAAGAGACGTGATGTTGCAGCTGTTCTTCACAATTGCTTTCTCTGCAGCGCCTTTGATTCTATATGTTCCGCCTGTGAGAAGCTTGAATCTGTTCGTGGAGACCATGGAGGATCTGGCAAGGGAGTCGCGTGTGTATACCCACAGGCTTTACCCACGTGCACGGTTCGTGTGGTCTAGGATCTTGGATTTTATGCTTTGCAACTTGAGTTTAGATTAGGTTTTGGATTGTCTTGTGTTCTAACCTGCTTTCAACCATCATCGGATCTCGTTCATGGTACAGACATTTTTTTTGCTTGCCACGGCTCTTCTTCTCGCAGGGAATAAAGTCGAAAACATTCCTTTGGTAGTTCCACGTATGTTTCTTGTATATGTGTGTGTGTGTGTCTTCTTCAATCTTATGCTTGTGAAATCAGGAACTTTGATACCCCCAACGTTTAGGGTTTTTGATGTTATTGTATTTGTTGGTGATGAGTTTAGAAATTTGATCATGTATTTGAGAGCTTCTTCCCTTTTTATCATTAATGTTTGTTTGAACTTTAATGATCAATCTCATTTCAAACATTGGGGTTTAGAAACTGTTTATTTATGTAAATATTGTTGAAGGAAGAACGGGGAATTGCCTAAAGGATTAAAACGAAAAAGCAAATCATATAATATTTATATTTAAAGCCATTGAGGTAGAAACCATCAAGCAAAAGGAAAAAAATTGTTTTCCTGAGAGATTTCAGATTTGAGTAGTGGTGTCAATAATTATGAAAGATTTTGAACATATATTACCTTGTAATTATTCTAGAGTATTAAAATAATACCACTGAGGTAAAAGAGGTGGCCTTTTTATATGTAATGCTTGTCCTATGCAGAGTATGATAGTTCTTTGTCTTTGGGCTTTGTTGCTTACTTTTCAAGATATACTGGCAGTAGAGTTTTCTCTTAGTATTTAGATAGATACATGTAATATATATATATATATACAGTGGCTTTAAATTCCAGGAAGGCCAATAAGCAGGGAAGATGCTTGATCAACAGTGTTAGCCTTTTATTCAGTGAAAACGGGTTTTCAATACAATTATTAAACGAACTGATTACAGTTTCTTATCTATCAGCAACAAATGAATCAATGAACTACAACTAAGAAAGAGAGAGCATTTGAGCTCGCTTGTTGTTGGCTTTTACCAAATAGTTTTACTCAGACAGTGTGGAAGGCTTGAGGAACCAAAATACATCCAACGCTCTTGCTTGTCTTCCATCATTAACATCAACATTAGTGATAACACAAGTAGAAACACTGTTCCCAGGTTTGTCTTCTTTGATATCCTTGTTTTGCTTCACTTCTTGAAGGATCCCCATTTCCTATGATGGATACATGATGATAAGCCTCATTTATGTAGCAAGCTAAATAATCATCAAAAAGAAACATACGCACATGCCAACCAAGATTCATATGATATATAGATATAGATATGATCCCTGCTTAGTTTTACTCATAATGATATATCTCATTCTTTTAAACTGTCATGTACACGTGTAAAACTAAATATATAATATGTTTATATAAAGTTACACACCGTGACTTTGGATCTGGGAGCCTTAGAAGGGGTTTTGACAGTAGCAGAAAAGCACTGTGGAGATGGTGGATTGACCCGTGTTTGCAGCAACCCTTTGTATTTGTTCTTTACATTCTCCAGATTTAGAGAGAGAGGAGGGGACATGTTCTCTGCTTCTGACTCGTGTGTTCTGTTTCTGCGCACAACGTAAACATACTTTTCTTATTTACACTATACAGAATCTAAATCGAATCCAGCGAGTCTTGTGTCTTGCCTTGAGTAAATTTGATTCAACTTACTTTTTAATCCTTTCTTTTTCTTTAGCAATGTCAATTCCTTTCTGCATTACAACTGGTTTCTCTTGACCCAATTAGAGCAATGGCTTCCTCTCTTTCTCCACCACTGCCTCTTCAGCTTCCTCAATTTCTCTCTCCTTTGCCCTGGTAGCCAATTTCTTCAACTCGTTGCAAAACTCGCTTATATGACTCAGTATATCCCTACCAGCAAACAAATACCTAGAGAACAGTAGTTTTAAGCCGCCGCATCTCATCATCTGGGGCTGGGAGATGTCATCCGTCATCATTGGTTTCTTCCTTTCACTGCTCGACTTGACCCCCACTTTCAAAGACTTAGCTTGCTGATTCGGAGGAGTCGATAAATTCGAGTTCTGGTTTTCATCATCATCAATCTTGGAAAAAACTGAAGATCGAATCTGGGTTTGCCCTCTTCTCTTCAGTTTAGCATATCTGAAACAAAAATAAGCCCGAAAATAGAAAGAAAATGAAGTTCCGATGAAATTAAACACTCGGTAAAGTTAATTGGGTTCCGACTAATATCCTTGATTAAGTTCCCGAAATGGGGAGCTTCGACTTCCTCCGCAGTAACCGATCGTGGTGGAAGAGGCGAAGCTTGAAGAAAATCCTAGCAGTCTTGGGATGGTAACAATCTGCAATTTTATTGACCATGAATGTAATTAATATATACGTATAGTTTGGAACAAAATTAGAATATTCAAAAAAATTGGATACCAATTTAGAATGGTTATAATTTGAGAATAAAATTGAAACGTTAAAAAATTTTAGGATTAAATATGGATAGTTCAAGTATAAAATTAAAATATTTAAAAGTTTAAGGATCAATTTAAAATGAAGACCATAATTTGAGGACATATGATACCTATAAAATAACATGATAATTTCCACCACACCATCTAAACCCAATTCCAAACATCATAAACCAACTTGAAACAGAAACAATTATAACTTAAAAGCATAATATCCGAAATTGGGGTAATGTCATTATTTGCTACCAATAATCTTATCAGCTTTTGTTAACCAAACCAAAACAAAACAAAAATTGTTTGGAGAGTAACCCCCCCACTGAATCTGAATTATTTGATGGAATAGCCGTCTATAAACCTAAACGGGACTAAAAGATTAAGCACCACCCGATCCATACTTCTTTCCAAACACAATGAGCTGCAACTTGTCATATCCGGCGAGCACACCAGCACCGGCAATGGCACGAAGGATGTTAGCTCCAGCACCCTTAAATAGAGACTTGGCACCCTCATTTTTCAATATCTGAGAGAATGCATCAAGCGAGCTCTTGTACTTTACTGCTTCACCAGAGGTCATCATCATTCTTCTACGCACAGTGTCAATCGGGTAAGATGCAAGGCCAGCACCGTTTGTGATGAGCCAACCAAGGGCAAAGCTAGCAAAGAAACTATCCTGCAATTATCGGAGGGGAAAAAAAACAGAGAGCAATGTCATAAAACACTGCAGGTATAAAATAGCATTGTAATAAACCCTTTACATCACAGGCTATCAAACATACTAACCTGCAAACTTCCAGTCAAAAGCACCGGCTTCAGAGAGTCGTACATTCCAAAGTATAGACCACGGTAAACAATGATACCAACACATGAAATATTGAAACCACGGTAAAGCCCAGCAATACCATCAGATTTTAAGGTCTTCCTGTAGACATCAACAAGGCCATTGAATTGCCTATCTCCTCCCTTCTTTGCAGCCTTTGCATCATTGGCAAGACGGGTTCGAGCATAGTCCAAGGAGTAGACAAACAGAAGGGAAGAAGCACCAGCAGCACCACCTGATGCCAAGTTCCCAGCAAACCATTTCCAGTAACCATCTCTGTCTTTTTTGAAGTTGAAAAGCCTCTTGAAGTAATCCTTGAAAGCAAAGTTCAGGGCCTGTTGCCAAAAGAGAAAAGTGGAATGCGTAAAACACAAGACCAATCAAATTAATCTAACATAAAAAACAAAGTTCCAATGACTGCAAACCTGAGTGGGGAAATAACGAATAACATTTGCAGTGTTTCCTCTCCACAAAGATCCAAATCCTTCATCTTGAATCGTTCGCTTGAAACAATCACTAATTCCCTTGTAAGGTTCAGAGAGCCTACCACTTTTAATCATTTCATCCTGGTTCTGAATCAAAAGCTTAACACGCTCAATTGGAGCAGCAGCTGTCTTAGAAACAGCAGCAGAAACACCACCCATTAGGAAATCAATAGCAAAGCTGGCAAACCCTTTCTCAGCAGGGGCTTGAATACAAACAGAAGATGCAGTTGATGAAACCATAGATAGGTCACTGGTAGCTCCACAAGCTCGGATAGTAGAATACTGCAGTGCAGCATTGGAGTAATTCCGATATACAGCATGCCTTTGGTATAGAGCAGGCCTGCAGAAGGACCCATCATTCGCTTGAAAATCTTGGGAATTTCTAAAACGAGTGACCTGGCCTGCTGCCTTCTGCATGACAGTTGGGTGTTGAACCTGATCCATACTGACTTCCCTGAAAGAAAGCCGCCGAGTAAAAAACCACACAAATATAATACAACTAAAAATGAAAACAAAAGTCTGTTACTGAATGAGGCTAAGTAATCTGCAAACATATCAACGAATCAATTATGAAAAATGTTAACTAAGTCAGAATCATGGACACGAAAATGCTATAAACATGGAAAGTATCATTCATAACCCAGCAAATATCATGCAGAATCAAAACATCTTTTGTAGCAATCACAAGCAAAACGTGCAACATGGTAAACTAGAGGGATATCCCGCAGGAGTAAAACACCTCAGCAAGAACTTAAGTTCATCCAGAAGAAAAAAACATAAAGCAAAATGACAACCAAAAACAACCCAGAGAGAGGAACTTAACCATCACATTAATATTAAGCAGAAAACAACAAATAAACAGGAAACAAAACCTAAACTCAACTGAAATACATGCCTTTTATTAAAAAAATCCCAGTCCTAGAAATAACAAGATCAGGTAGGCTGGCATTTATAGATTGATAGATTTCATGATGCTTGCTCAGCAAAATATCAAGATCCCGTGTCGACATAACACGATCCTGGTTAGGATCTGGGACCTGTCTCACAAGCCAAAATATTTGGACTCGTCTTCATCCCACGATCAGCACCCCAAAGTTAAGTCAACAAGCAATTTCTAGACTATTGTTGCCACTTCGGGTAAGGAGAGAGGAAGGAGAGAAAACATTAGGAATTTCAAAATGAAAACTAGAAAACAACGGGTCGAGAAAAAGAGAAATTGAAATATGGAAAATATGAAGGGAAAATATGTGGCAAGGCTTCCTCTTAGCTGCCCCATCGGGGCGGGGAAAGAAACTGTTGGTTGAAGTCTCCGGCTTTTTCTCCTTTTTCTAACATTTTAGTTGCCTTGCCAAGAAGAGAAAGTAGAAGTTTTATCTTGGGTTTTGGCTCTTAAGTCCATAAGTTTATTCTCTTCTATTTTTTGCTAAGACTTAAGCCCATAATTGATTATAATTTGGACTAAAAATAAATAAATAGCCTAAATTTGCATCAAAATACTTTTCTAGTCATTTTCCTAAAAAAAGTATCTAATTCTCAAAATAATATAATTTTGTATACTTAAGCACACACCCTGTATCCTTCTCCGGACTAGGGCTGTAAATGAGACGAGACAGATCGCGAGCTACTCGAGATTGACTCGATCTTGGCTCGATAAATACTCGGATCGAATGGACTCGACTCGAGCTCGAACTCGACTCGAGTTCTTAACGAGCCGAAACGAGCTACTCGATACTCGACTCGAAAGCTCGTGAGCAGCTCGAAAAAAATGTTTTATTATAATTTTAGATTTTTTAAAATTACATTATTAAAAATATATTAAAAATACATTATTGATGAATAAATATTCTTAAATTGAAAATGGTTAAAAATTATTTTTGAATAAACTTTCTTATATTTATTTTAAATTAATAAAAAAATTATTTATCTAATGACAAATATTTTAATATATTTCTAATGATAATATTTGTAATAACTAATTTTTTAAATTGTTGTTATATTTTGAGGTTTCATGTTCAAATATCATAAATATCAAGGGTTTGAGCATTTAATATCAAGATACTATATTGTACTTACCTCGTAACTAATTTTTTATTTAATAATAAATATAATATAATAAAAAAATATGATTCAATTTAAATATTAATAATTTAAAAAATATATATCAAAACAAGTATACCCTCTCTCTTTTCACTAAGCCATCTCATTCTTTCAAATTATGTGATAAGATTTAAGGTTTAGAGTTTAGAGTTTATGTGATATGATTTAAGGTTTAAGGTTTAGAGTTTATATAATAGGATTTAAAGTTTAGAGTTTAGTATTTATGGCTTAATGTTTAGGTATTAAGGTTTAGGGTTTAGAGTTCAAAAGTTTTAGAGTTTATGTGATATGATTTAAGGTTTAGAGTTTAGGGTTTAAAGTTCAGAGTTTTAGAGTTTACGTGATATGATTTAAGGTTTATATGTTTAGGGTTTATATGTTAGGGGTTAGGGTTTAAGTTATGACATACAAAATGGCATAATTATCTGATCTGATCCGAATATAACATATTTTCAGCTAAATATTTCGAAATATTTATTCTAAATATATACATATATTCTGAATCCGACAAATCACCCAAAAATTCAAATATTCTAAATGTACAATATCCATTAAAATCCGACAAGCCAACATGGAATATATAATATTTATCCAAATTGTATTTAAGGCAATCAATTTTACATAACATTCATGTTTCAAATCAATTTCAACCAAATAAATAATAAGTAACCAAATAAAATAATGTAGCCCCAATTAAAAAGACACACGTCATTAACAGTTAAGGACCGATAATAACCTTTATTACGATCAGCTCGAACAGTGGATCGACCCGAATTAGAACATACAAAATAGTTTAAATAAACAAATTATTCTAAATTAACGACAAGACCAACCTACTAGAATTTGACAATTAACACTCACAATCAACACAAGCTGCAACAGTCGATTTGAAGTTCGTGGGTAAAGTGGAGGAGGTTGTAACTCGATTCCTAATTCAAAATTTCCTACAAAATTCACGATGCTTGATTTCAAATTCAAATACCAAACTTCATAATGTAGGAAATAATTTTTACAGTGACAGAAATGTGTATATATATATTTTTCTGGTTCGAGTCGGAGAACTGGCCTGGCAGTGAGTTCCATTCGAATATAATATTCGAACGAAACAACGAAGGGGGCTACCGAGAGTAGTCCAAAAGGGTCGGCGAACTTACGACTGTACTTGTCGTGACATTAAACGGCCGGCCACCATATGGCAGTGGCAGCAACAACCAAACAGAACAGACAAAATGGAAAAACAAATAAGAAATAGAGACAAAATCAACTTGTTCGTGGCGAATCTTTCATATGAAGTGAGGGCTATGAGGGTGCTAATGTTGTTTGCTGAAGTTATATTTCATGATAATCGAGAAAGTCATCGGCTATGCCTTTGTCTCTTTCAAATCCAAGAAGGCTGATGCAGCACTGTCTGCTTTCCAAGGGAAGGTAGTTCCTTATTTTGTAAATTTCTAGATTATTTTTTTTGTATTTTCAGTCAAGAAACTGATAATTTGTGATTGCAGATGTTAATGGGAAGACAGATTCGAGTGCAACGTAGTCGACAATTCGTGAAAGTCATGTTAGGTCGTTAATGCTTGAATTAAATTCAAACAGGAAGTTAACCTACTTTGGTAATTTGAGACTTATCAAAGTTTCCACCATGGATGCAGCACGTTCTGGAATAAACCAGCATATTAACATATCTCCCGAAATGGCCAATGAGATAAAGGTTTGTATACATTTTTGCTGAACTTGTTCTCCTACTCTTGTGATCTTCCACATGTTAACAAAAAATATAATATAGAAGCGGGAGAACCAGATAAAGAGAATACTGGGAATTGGAAATCGCATATCAGAAGAAGGCTGATCGATGATCTTACTAGAATGGGGATGAACGAATCAATTGTAAGTAGTTAACTTAAAAACTGATTCATTTGAGTATGCCAATTTTCGGGTTGTATGTACATCCAGTTCAATCATGTTTGTAATATGGTGGTTATGTTTGGCAGGTAAGAAGAGCCATTCTAATTATGCACCAGAGGGGTGAAGTTGAATATCAACGAGAAAGGCATTTAATTATCCGTAAAGTATGATGTTGCTGTTGTAATATTTGGGAAGACAAGTTCACAGTCCAACGATAAATCGGCCGAGTGAAAGAGCTGAAACCAGAAACAAGGTTCATTATCCTAACTCCTATGTGAGTTATATCCCACATCGGTGGTTCTTGGGGAATAAAGGGTAAGTCGAATGTATAAAAAGGGATGGGTTTCAACAAAAGAATATTAACCCATCCTCGAGCTTGAATCGAGCTCAAAATCGAGCTTCAATTGAGCTTTAGTCTTGAGCTTCAATCGATCTCTTGAATTTTTTTCGAGTTCGAGCCTTTTCGAGTTCGAGTCGAGTTTCAATATTATTTTTCGAGTTCGAGTCGAGCTTGAAAATTTTAGGCTCGCGAGTTTTCGAGTCGAGTCGAGCTTATGTTTAAAGTTTTCGAGTTCGAGTCGAGCTCGGCAATACTCGAGCTCGACTCGGCTCGTTTACACCCCTACTCCGGACCCTTTTTATGCCATATTCCGGTGTCTTAACATCTAGACAAATGAAAAGAAAGACAAATAGACACATACCCACAATCAACAGTCGAATCAACATAGATTACTATCTAATAAAAATCATAAAAGACAGTGGCGGAGGTGCGCTTTGCCCACGTGCCCACCCTGAAATCTGAATTTATTTATGTTAGTATTTTAATGAAGGTGCTCACCTTAAAATTTTATTTGTGTCCATCCCATACAGAATTTATTTGTGCCCACCCTCAAAACTATATTTCTGGATACACCACTGATAAAAGATATAAACAATTAACATTCAAAAGTCTCACTTGAGTCTGACCATCAACATGTATATCTATGTAATTTAAATGCAAGGATTTTACTGAGTTAACAAATTTTTGAAGAAAAAGTTTGAAGAAGTATAAACTATAATTACATGATACGTTGCCTCCTATTAAACTCTGAAAAAGGCGGAAGCAGGGTTAGCTTAAGAGTAACGCAAAGCAACAAATAAGGGTAACATAAACGCAGTATCATTAAACAAAACCAACATGTCTGAAGAATCAAACTGCAAATTAGGGTCTGATACAGATCCGATTGGTTTCCAGGCCACTGCTTAGCAGTAAATACCAACAGATCTAACGAATCAAGGCTAAATTTTCCATATAACACTGTGTTTGATAATAGATCAGATCAAACATAGACAAAACTATTAACAGTTTTACAGATCTATGAATAATGATGATTAGAACAGTAAGGTAAAGGTCAAATAACAGTATAGATGATCTAAAAGAAAAGCGAGGAACTATAATAGGTAAACTCCACAAAGAAGTACATAAAATATGAAATGATGGGATATTTAAAGAGATGTAGCATTTTACCTTAGAGAAGAGCGTGATTGGAGGCTTTGAGAGAGATGGAGGACTCCGCCTTTGGCCAGAGGAAGAGGAAATGATTTTCTTCTACTTTTGTGGGGCAAGAGCGAAGATGCCCTCCTCTGCTTTTATGGGCTCTGTACGTCAGTTGGAGGCCTGCCCAGCTCAGGCCCCATGTGCATAGCCATTATTCGTAGCAGATACTGGTTCATTGGATCTGAGCTCTTACCAATAGGGATGATACATTATTTATAGAATTAATATTATTTATTTTATAAAAAATTATTATGCATATTAGTATTAATAATATTATTTTAATAAAAATAATTATTAAAATATTTAAAATATATTTATTAATAATTTTCCAAAATATATAATATTTTTATTTAATATTAAAATTTTAATATTGTGATGAGATACTCAATTATATAATAAAAAATATATAATTATATTTTATTTTAATAAATATGATACATTATTATATAATTATATTATTATTTTCATAAAAATAATATTTTTTTTAAAATATTTTTGAATTTTAATGATGAGTACTATTAATTTTTAATAACGTAATATTAGTATTTAATATTCAGATAATATAATTGGATTTTTGACTTTTAATTAAAAATTAATGAATAAAAAGAAAAAGTAAATAGAATAATGAGTAATTAATGAATGATAAATTTATTTTTATTTAAAATCTAGCTGTTTAAAACACCTTGAATTGGCAACTTTGGTCAAATTAACCCTTGATCTTTTCCATCAAAGTAGCCATAAACATTTTTTAATCAATTATTTTGGATATTCGATCAATATTAATCACTAAGGTGAAGACGTTATCAATAGAGGAGAAGGGTTTTAAATTTTATTTTAAAAAAATAATGTCTTAATCTTAAGGACTATTGTGTTACGCTTTCAAAGTTTATGGGGCAATTTGACCAACTTTCCAAGTTCAAGAATAAATTTGACCAAAAAAATTATGAAGCACTTGCATATAGGAACATCCCCTGAGGTTACTTGAAAAAAAATATTGTTTATTACAAAGCAAAGATGAGGAGTAGCAGCATAACATGTTAGTCATAAGGTTTCTCCATTGATGATGTGCCATCAAGAACTTGTGCTCAAAACAAAGTTACTAATCGATCATCATCTTCGTTTTGCAGCATAGGCAACGCTTACTGCAGCCATGATAGTTGTTGCTAAGGAGACCGATTTCCAGAAACTATTCTTCTTTTGGGATTCCACAATAGTTTTCTCCATTACCTCAACTTTCAGCTTCAAATCATTGAAACTAGTCTTCTCCTCCAAAAGGGAATTCTGCAAGCTATCTATCAGCCTGTTCACAACAGTCCACAGATCACTCACATCTTGTAGATCAGAATCTTCACTCGCATCAGTAGCTTTATCTCCAAGAAACACCAGAATCTTCTTCTGCATATCCTTTAGTTCCCTCTTATTTGTTTCAATCTTGCTTCTCAAAGTCCCAACTTCTTGGACCATATCTTTAATGTTCTTCTCCAGCGAGTCGTTCCTCTTCCCCGCTAAACGCTTCACCTTCTCCAGTTCATCTTTCAGAGTCTCAGTTTCTTCAGCAAATTTCCTCTCATTTTCCTCCATTACCGTTATCTTCTTTTTCATCAAAATACCCTCATTTCTTGTCAAAGTTGGATCTTTAGGTTTGGAGCCTTTGGATTTCTGTTTAGATTTCTTTTTTGCCATTTCCTGGCAGTATGGAAGATCAATGGATGTGAATCTTGAAAGGTGGGTTTGTTGGCCGTTGGGAGTGGAATGATGATGGCATATATATAGCTTCTACAATGTCAAAATTGTGTGAATTTAGTTGCTTTTTCTTTGCAGTTTTTGGATTCATTGGTGTCTTTTAATGATAAATTTTATTTCTCTGTTTTAATTTCATATAAATTTACAATTGAATTAAATTTAAATTCATTGTATTTAATCATTTACTTACAAGTGCATCCTTTTAGTGTTGTACCAAAATTATGTATCTTTGTCAATGATGGAGTTTTTAAATTCTGTACTTATGAATTCCATTTTAAAGTATTATTATTTAGGGTAAATTACGCATTTAGTAACTAAACTATCATTTTTATATGTTTTAATACATGAACTTTTATTTTCTTCAAAATCAGACCTAACTTTTAGTTTTTGTTTCATTTTAGTACTATGCCGTTAAAAACTTATCGGACAAGCTCGCCCGCTGTCGCATCCATTGGCCGATGAAGCCCAAACTTTGCAGTCGGTTTCGACCCCCTGAACTTGATTTTGGCCTCTGTTTCACTAGGAAACGCCTCAATCTCTCCAAATCAACGATGGCCTCTTCGATTTCTTCATCCTTTGATCTACGTGGTCCACCGTCCAATGGGCTTGAAATTGGACTATGTTGGTCAACTCGTCATTCTCCCGTGGTCCACTGTTCAGATTGGTTGTCCGTCCACCGAAGCTATGTCACGTCAGCCCGTCCGTTATTTTTTTAACTGCGGGATACTAGAATGAAACAAAAACTAATGTTAGGTATGGCTTTGAAAAAGTGAAAATTTAGGAACTAAAACTGATTAAAACTAACATTTTAGGTACTAAACGCGTAGTTTACCCTAGTATCTATCTAGTTTTTAGTAATTAAAAAGTCAATATAAAATTACCACCAGTAACAATCATTTATTTGAATAACGGTTTGGGTATTTAATTTAAGAATCAACTACACTTACAATTATTAATGTTAGAGTTAATTTCTATTTTTATAATTTATTTATTTTTCTGTTCAATCTTTCGACTCCATGACAGACCCTTGCTCCAATCTCTTCCATGGATGCTTCCTCTGAATAAAGGAGGAAGCGTGGGTGCATGTTCTGGGACGTTTGCCTTAAGCAAGGGACAGTATAGGATTCCTACCCCTACTCAGATTCTTGGTGGTCCTACACAGTTTTCATGTCATGTCTGTTGACACCTTTAATAGATTCAACAACCTGCAGGTAGGATTCACTGTTGAACCCTAAGGAAATCAAACAATTAAGTAAACCATATTTCTCAACAAAATGAATTGCATTCGCGGGGGCATGGATCTCAGTACAGAAAGGGACCCGACTCTCTGAGAGTGACCCAGGCGACAAGCATGGATCTCAGAGTTTGAGCTTCAATATCAGTCTTCTATGTGAAATTTATATCTACCTACTTTAGTTTTTGTTATACTTGATCCTTTCATGTAGGAGCGTAAATGAACCAAACTTGAATGAATAAGGTTATGTTTGTATTCGTTTGTTTATTTTTTAAGGCATTTATATTTGGTTTTTGTTCGTTGAAATTCTTAATATTATGTTCGTATTAGTTTATTTATTTTGAAGTTGTTTGTGTTCATTTATTTATTGTTCGAAAACTTGTTCATTTATTTATTGTTCACGAACATATTCTTTTAATGTTTGCAAACGTTTATTAAATGAACATAAAAAAATTATTCATACATATTTATTTAATTTAACAAATGAACATTATACAAACAGTTCACCAAACATTTGTTCATTTACACCTACTTTCGCAGTGGAAAAGCTTATTTCGATAGAAAATTTTAAATTTGACCAACTTGTATTTTTATCAATGTAAATATTTAAATTTAAAGTTTTTTAAAAAATATATATATACACGTACACTTATGTGAGTATTTAGATTTATTACTCTCTTTTTTAAAAAAAAGTTTATACTTATATAAGTACTTCAATTTGAAACTCACCAGCTTTCAAATTAATTGGAACCCAACTTTGAACTTTTTGAATCGAGTGGTGCTCAACAACGCTCAAATTTGACTCGTCTCATTTACCGCCCTAATAATAACACAAGACAATTGTTACAAACTATATCGGATCTAAAAATATTTTTTGAGTAAACACTCATATGTTAATAGCATAAAAATTTTAAATAGAGTAGACACATATAATATTTCAAAAAAGACATTATTAATAAAATAATTAATCAATCGAATAAAATTCAGAAATTCATTCTCATATAGGTTTAGATCTACCACTGGTAACGTATAATATATATATTTATGACATATATACATAAATAAAATAACGCGAGTAACTCCAACGCATCGTTAGAGTAAAAAAAATCTTCACTTTAGAGTAGAGATAGTGCTCCAGCTCAGTGCAACGCTACAACTAGCGTACAACTGTAGATGCGCTACATTTTTTTTTGTTATTTTTCTGATTTTTTTGTTATTTATGAATGTTTAATTTGTGCTTTTTATCTTAATATTTATTAGAAATGTATATGTTTTATTTTAGAGAAAATAACCTCAGTGACCGAAAATACCTTATAATATACGATTTTAACCAATTTTTTTTGGATTTGCCAAAATGACCAACAAAATCGCAACGCGAACTCTAATTTTTAAACTCAGTTTCCAAATTCGCAACGCGATTTTGCGATAGTCCAAGTTCGCGTTGCGATTTTTCAAATTTACGTTAGTCCAAATTCGATGCGATAGTCGAAGTTCGCGTTGCGATTTTCCAAATTCGTTGCGATAGTCGAAATTCGCGTTGCGATAGTCGAAATTTTCCAAAATCGCAACGACTAGTGGTATTGCATTTGTTTCTTAAGAATTTTCTCTAAAAAGATAGTATCCGCGCGGACGTGTCGAAGACACGTACGACCACGACCCGAGACGAGACGAGACGGCGGCGACGACGGTGCGCGAGAGCCCCCCTTATTCACTTCCACTCAACAAGGAAGTGGGAAATCCAAGCCTTAAATACATATTATCAATAGTGTTTCCAATACTATGTAGGATTGAGCATTGCAAACACTTGGGAATCTTTTACACTATCGCAATACATTCTTTATTGTTTCAAACTAAGATCTTACAAATGGCTTGGGAATCTTTTACACTATCGCAACACATTCTTTATTGTTTCAAACTCCACTAGAATTTGGAATAGTTAAAATGTAAAATTATTTTAGATTTTTCACTATTGCAACAACACGTTTTTCAAACTCTCGCAACACATTTTAACTATCGCAACACATTTTAACTATCGCAACACATTTTTCAAAATCGCGTTGCGAATCTGGATATTCGCGTTGCGAATTTGGAAACTGAGT